TTTTAAACTTTCGCAGTGCTTTCACATACAAATATAGTGATACCAAATCATTTTTTTACCATTACGGTCAAAGAAGCTGATGTAAGGTATATCAAGTGTAATGCACCATCCAATTATACGCACACAGTCCAGGACGGACTCGTCGCACAGTCCGAGCACGATTACCAGGTGCCTGGGTATCTTCTTGATTTTCGCGAGCGTGCACGCGAGTGTGTCGAGTTCCGCCGTCGTGTTCACGCACCAGGTGTCCGTGCACTTGCGATACACCGCGTCACGAGCGTACAGGATCGCGACGTACAGGCTATACAAGAGATGCGCGAACGCTAATATTACACGTAGGAGCGCGTTCATATTGCTGGCGCGCGACCGCGTGCCTATACAGCATAATCGGGTGTGAGGCAGACGGAGTCGACGGCACGCGACGGTCCCCCAAAGTGTTCGGGAGCGCCACGCGAGATCTATGTATATTACGAGGCTCGCCACTCAGCCGACGCTACGTGTATCGCACGGTGTGGCCAGGCCGCCAAATGCCGCCACCACCGCCGCCGCCGCCGCCGCTACCGCGGCCATGGAGCTCTGCGCTCTGCGCGTGCTACACCACCACCTCACGTGGTATGCGCGCGCTCCGCATGCGTCATCGCGGTCGCGAAGTCGCAAGCGCCTGCGCGGTGAGCTGCGCAGGCGCCGCGACGCGTATACCAATGTATGCGTGTATATGCGCGTCCACATTCCGCATTTGGAATAAAAATATCAATACCGATAAAGACAGAGGATCCTATTCTGAATTAACATTTATAGCACTTTTGCATTGTTCTCGATAGATGTGCCAATAGATGTTTATTTGTAAAGTGCGTTTTATATATTTAAACATTTTAAGAGTGCGAAGTGCTTTTATACAAAAATTGCGAATTTTTCATTTTCGGACAGATACAGAAATTCAGCAGTTATCGAAAATGCCCGTTTTCTATGTTTCCTGTGTTAAAATGCTTTATCGATCTTTAAGTGTTTATATATACGCAAATGAAGTCGCTACAGAAAAAATTTATATAAAATTTATATTGCACTTTGTATATTTTACTTTTTTTAATATAACGATTTCTGAAATTTAACAGATTTTCATTTCTTTATTTGTATTTTTCTATAATTGCTTTTTCCTCTTTGTTCTCTCTTTTTTCTATTTTTTTATTATTTTACATTTATTTTTATTTAATATTCCTCACATCCTCTTTTGTTTTTCTTTCATTCATCTGGTTTCTTTCTCACGCTTTTTCCCTTACTATTTCTTTCTCTTTTTCTCTTCCATTTATTCTTCTTCATTTCCTTCTTTCTTCAAATTTTTCGGATTATTCAAACTTGAATCATATTGTTCAGATTTTTCATTTCAAGTTCTTCTCCTGCTTGCTTTCCTTTTACCTCGTCATCTCTGTCTTCAATTTTCTCATTTGTTTCATTATCATCGTCCACATCCATCGTTTTCATCTGTCTTGTTTCGGAATATTCCTCCAAAGTTTTCTCACGCATATCGGCAACTTCGACAAGCACCTCATCCATCCAAGTGGCTACTGTATCCGCCAAAAGTTGCAACTGCTGTGTCGCACGGTCGCCGTTTTTCACGTCCCCGCGTTCGACGAGAGACGTTAAACGCCTCATTATCACGTCCGCGATCTCGCGGACGTGTCTCTTCTGCGTTTCCCGTCGATATCCCAGAATGCTTCTGACAAAGAGTTCAGCCATCAAGTACTGACACATCGTGGCATCTCTGTCCAGGATCGGCGCTCGCGCAATCTCCTTCGCGATCTCTCCCGGTTTCTTGGCGAGCGGCTGCGGAAGTCGCCGCCTTGCCTTTCTCATTCCACGTTCGTCCCGGCGAATTTGCGCGGCCTCCCTACGGAGAAACGACGGAATTTTTGGTTTGCGCTTGAATTAAATCTCCCAGAATTTACTCGAAATTCGACACGTTACTCCGGAGTTAGGTAGGACCTGGCCCTGACGATCCTGGTAAGATTATCCACGAACATCGGCGGCAATATCATCCCTTTCTCCTTCAGAGTGTTCAACGCGCGTTGCTTCGTCGGCTGTGCCAGTTCCTTGATTCGGATTGACATAAGTTGCTCGGTGAATACTCGCGGTGCATTGCGCTGTGCGAAGCAAGAGATTAGTAATTAATATGGCATACGGAGAAATATGAGCAGTGGGATTTTTGTAATAAGCATCAAATAAATCAATTAACTAAGTTTTGTGAATTATCGAAAACACAAGATTATATTTTAAAATTCTTGATTAATTTGCTTATTGCTTAAGTTTTCAGCTTATAATTTCTGTTTCTATGTACTGGTTTAACGAAGTTAACAATCTCAAATAGTTAAATCTATTCTCTCTCGAGAGAAAGTAGATTTTACAAAGTTCTGTTTGCTACAAATTATATCGGTAGAAATATAAAAAAATATAAATGGAAAATAAAATCAAATAAAATCTGCAAATTTTGTCCTATTAATAATATATAAATTTAAAATAAAATATTAATTTAAATATATATATATTTAATATATATATATATATATATATATATTAATATATTATATTTCTTTATTCTTTATATTCTTATTTTATTTTTGTCAGTTCTCGATGCTAATACCTTTGAACATGATTTTTCTTTGAACATTTTTTTTGATCGCGGATTGTCTTCCAAAACGTCATCTTGTTCGGCCTTGGCGATCTTCGACCTCATAACATCGATTCTCTTGATGTTATTTGTGATCATAATCGCGTTTTTTTCACGTGCGAGTTCTGAATAAATAAAAAAAAACTATTTATTCAACTTCCATGACTCTGAATATTCGAATAGCAATGTGTCCTTACTCATTTTTTTATTCAGAATTGCTTAGAATTAAATTCGACATTCATCCTGTTTTTGACAAACACGGAAATTTGGAAACATTCTACGTTGAATTATTTACATGCGAGAATGAGACATTTCTTTAACTGTAAATTTCGCAACGTCTAGAAGAGAATCTTTAAATTTCTTCACATCTCGAATGATAAAAAATGTTAAGTGACATCGATATCGATCCATCGATCTATCGAATTATTAAATTAGTGAAAATAAATGTAACTCTCTTACCAATGTAAATTAATTTTAATTTTGGTTTAACTAACTTACTTTTTATCTTTTTTAGTTCCAAGAATTAGAAGAAGATAAAAAATTAAATTGAGATTAAAGTTATAACTTATATTGATAAAAATGGATGATAAATGTATAATATATTTATACATATTTATCTTAAACATATCGAAATTTCTTCATGTAATGCAGAATGTAATTGTCATCTCAGTATTTTTCTGAAATATTGAATATCTAACTCTTTAAATATATTTGTAATCAATTTGGTAACTCAAGTAACCCAAAGGCAGATGACGTCATTAATCGTTCCCGGAGAGATCAAAACTCGCTGCACTGCGATCGAAAAAGCATCCTTCCTGCTATTCCCAGTACATCATCATCTCGTCGGTGGTCTTCCGATGACCGACCGAAGATGACGCTACCGCCGCGGTGGCATTTCGCTCGCGATGGCGACGGTCCGTCCGTTCGTTCGTTAATCGATCATTCCAGGAGTCGGTGCGCTGCGGAATCGTTCGCGCAACCATCACTCGTCGGCGGATGCCCTCGAGGCGGTGATCGTGTCCTCCCTCCCCTTCTCTCCGCGATCTGAGGGGCCGCGTATCCCGAGTTCTCGGCGGATCGGCAGCGGCCGCGCGCGCGTACGCACACGGTACATACGTCACACGGTGCGGGGAGAATGTAGTTGCCAGGCGGCGAGGCCAGCGCGCGCGTGAATTCTCCGCGGGATAGAAAAAATTCCCGCGGCGATCTGTCTGTGGTCACGGTTTCCGAGGTGAAATGCGGCGGTGCCGTCGACGGGTGATAGCACGACGACAGTACGTCGTGTGACGCCAATCGAGATCTCGAGGATCGTCGTTTCACCGACGAGGGAGAGAAGGACGAGAGAAGAAGGAGAGAACGAGAACGAAAGAGGAGCAAGAGGAAGAGGAAGAAGAAGAGGAGGAAGAGGAGGAGGAGAAGGATCTCACGGGCGTCCCCGGAGACACGCCGGAGCTATGATGAGATAACAGATGCAGAATGAGGCGCAGCAGCAGCAGCAGCAGCAGCAGGCGGCGGTGGTAACCTAGTTCGGTTACGCGGTCCTCACCTT